GGAAAGAGAGGAAAGAGCCCCTGCTTTGGGGTTAGCACTACAGGTGAAGGCAGGGGACTTTCCTGGAAATGATTTGAGGGCTCCTGAAAGCCCCCCTGTGCCAGGGTGACAGCGTTGGAAACCACTGTGGTGAGAGGACAGGACACGAGACGGGGATCAGCGAGCCCTGGATGGGAGTTAGGGCGCCCTGGGTGGAAATCCCACCCCGCCTCCTCCGGCTACAGGCTAGGGCAACTTTGCTCCTCTGCAGGGAGGCGGGGTGGGGGGGGTCTCCCTCTTACAGCCCAGGTCAGGCAGCTCACTGGGAACCAAGGGCGGTAGAGGGCCCGAGCAGCACCCACCCAGAGCCAGGAGACCTTAGGTACATTACCCGAGTCCACCTGAACCCCACGACCGGCGCTATTTTTTCCCCTTTACAGGTGGTAAGCCTCAAGTTCAGAGAGGTTAAGCAACCTACTCAGGGTCACAAATCAAGCAATAGGGTCAAGATTTGAACCAGATCTGATTTTCTACCAAAGCCCCAAACTGTTGCTAGATATTTGCACCCAGTCATGTTTTCTTCTTTGTTTTGGCCATCGGGAAGCTCAAGGTCAACTTGGAGATCATTTCTAACAATCATACTGAGTCTCCTGCTGGACTCACTTTATTCTAGCTTTCTGCTTTTACTTTTTGCCCTCATCTTTTTATCCTTATTCTGTTGTATTTTATCTGTTTTTGTAAGTGGCCACAGTACCTTTTTGTTTGCAACAATGTGTCATATACCTAAATAAATACATGAGCAGAAGCTCCCTTTATGTCTCACTAAATGTTGTGGTCTGTGTCTTTATCTTAACACACACATGTGATAACTTTTTTTTTCAAGTTTGTTATAGGGCATGCGTGCTCCCTAGAGAGACAGAGAGGGAAAATGAGAAATCATCCCCACCCTGCCCCAGGAGCTGGGGGGAAGGCCACATCGCAATCCCTCCTCCTTCTCCTCTTGGGATTCGGGACATGCGGGCGCTTACACACCCCGTGTGATTTTCAAGCCAGCAGGATGGATCTCAAACCACACAGTTGGCCATGTGGGATCCAGCTGCTTTAACCACGGTACTGGCGGTACTGGCGCTGGCCCAACAACTTTTTTAAAAATATGTAAATAGTTCTCAGAATTGGCTGCTTTGCTACACTGTAGCTGGAAACTAATGAGAAGGAACCAGGGCAGAAGATCCCAACCGGCTGCGAACCAGCCCCCTCGGGGGAGAGGGGAAGCCAGCCACTGGCAGAGCTCTGCAGAGAGCTGCTGTGCCCATTTGCTTCGGGTCAGAGGATGAGGGCTGAGGGAGAGGGGAGACTAAGAGACACTTTCCTGAGGGGAAAAGAGAGTGTCACGGATTTGACGAGGGGCCCTGGGACATCGCTTAGTCCTCTGTTTCTCCAACTTCATTCACTCACACACCCTCTTCATGAGTTTGGCCATTTCTCTCTACCATTGTCAGAATTATTTACTATTCTTCTTTCACATGATTCTATTCTTTTATTTATTTATTTACTTAGGTTTTTGCCATAAGGCCTATGCACTTGCTAGAGAGAGAACAGAGAAAATCTCTGTCTCTGAAGTGGGGGATGGTCACACCATAATCCTTTCTTCTCCATTCTCCTGTCGGGATTTTGGGCACACACATGTGCCCGGGGTAACTTTTCAAGGTACTGGGTCTGGGATTTGAACCGTGGCTGGCCATGTGGGTGTCCAGTGCCTTAACCACCATACCACCTGCTGGCATCTGATTCCATTCTTTTTACTAAAATAATTTTATTGCAAAAGGAAACTTTATAAGCTGTTAGAAAAACGGGAAAAATATGTTTTTTTAAAGGAAGAAGGCTTATATTAGATAGTGAAAAAAAGACGGGAGGCTAGATTGTGGTACAGTGGTAAAATGTTATGCTCTGCAAGGCTGACCCCATGCAAAGGTTCTGGGTTTGCTTCCAGGTTCCTCCCTGAGTACGCTGAACACACACGTGCCATGACCTGGGGCTGGCTGGGGTGGATCATGGCACTGGGACCCTGTGGGCTGCTGTCTCTCACTCATGGGAGAAATAAGTAAATAAACTTGAAAAAGAGAAAGGAAGGAAAGAGGAGGAGAGCAAAAAGGAGGGCAGGGCAGAGGGGAGGAGAGAAAAGAAAGAAGCCAG